ATCGAGTTACATGGCTTCTCATGTTTGTTGTGTTGCCAAAGTATTTTATTTTAGCACGACACAGCTTACATATAACGTGGCTCTTGTCCAGTTCACTTCCGCCGTCAACGTTGTAGAAGCTGAAGTGTTTCCACACGTCTGCTTTTAAATTAGAAGGAGCTGTTCGGATCTCACGGCGAGGTGGGTGGCGGTCAGCCATGTTTGTTTTCCTCTGTGCGCGTGTCGGCGTGTCTGCTCCAGGTGTGCATCCCAAAGTGTCCCGGAGATGACGCATACCGTGCTTCTTAGTTCCGCATTATTTAGGACCTTCTGTATTACTCTAATTAACAGATTTAAATAATCGAAATTTGGACGTTTGTGAATCGATTCAGATTTGTCCACGTCCGAATCGCGATGCATCTAAAATTTGGAAATTTCCCCCACCCCTACTTGACAAGGTTGATTTCAAAGGGATACCTTCATTTAACAAAATGTGGCAGTCCATATGAAGTTTGATTTTGTGAAACAACAACAACAACCTAAAACAGAGACCTGAAACTTAGAACCTTTTGTGTGTTTATCTGTAGGAGTAGCTCTCTTTATATGCAATTTTCTTTTAATTTTGTCCATTGCAATTCATGTTATGTGTTAGTTTGTTGATGGCTCAATGATAATATAATCACTGGCTTTGTTAGTGTTGGATCGACAATATTTGCTGTGTATGTGGTTTATTATGTCGCCGGTATCAGCTAGTATCTTGGTTTAATGTCTGGTGCTGTCTAAGGATATTTAGGTCTGTAACTGTAGCTTTTTCTTTGTCTAGTGTTATTGCTCAATTAGAAGATGATAAAAACCCATTGAGGATGGTCATTAGCAAATTAACTGCTGCTTGTTTTTACCTTCATAATTGATTGAGTTCAAAGTGAGAAATGGGACTTCCTATCACAGGTCACCAGGAAGCACTGTGGGCACTGCTCCAAATACTTGGTCAACTATACAGCAAGCAGAGACAGCTGGAGCCATCAGACACTGAGACATGATGCTTTGATGCTGAAAATGACAAAAAAAAAAACAACACCAAAAAAACATGTATTGTACCTTTACTTCACTGTCATCCTGGAAGTATTCAGCCCATTTGCAGGAAGAAAATGTTGGCATTGTAAGTTTCTGCAAACCACAATTATGTTACAGTTGCACATTTCATACGTACCATATAAACGTTTCTAAAGTGGCACAGTATATGAACTGACTTTGTCACCAGGAGGTGACATTGCGTTTTTTTCCCAGCAGGGATTGTTCTCCCAGAACCGCATATTTTAAGCCAAAACATGATCTTTTCCTGACCATAACCATGCACTGTAATTTTTTTTTAATTTTTTTGACTAACTACTAGTTGCATCACTTTCACAGTAATTTACTGTATCATTTTTACAGTAAATTATTGTGAAATGACAGCTGTGTGATCTCACAGCAGATATGACTGCATATTACTGTGATTTAACAGTATGTAATCCACTGTAATCTCACAGTCCATATATTACTCACCATTACATACAATGCCAACAATTTTTATTTATTTATTTATTTATTTATTTATTTTTTTTGCAATTGGGTTGAAGGATTTCATACAAGCTCCATCCTTTGGCTACTCATTCATTCTACTTCTTATACACCTGACCACTAAATGCTTCACTTAACCTTTACCTATCTTTTTTTTTTTTCCCCCAAAATCTAATTGGCCCCTTAAAATGAGCACCACTGTGTCTTCACCTATTGAGGATTTTCTCTTTGTGTGAAACCATCCATGAAGCACACACACGTGTGCACCCACGCGCGCATGCACGCACGCACGCGCACACACACACACACATGTTGAGTGCCCTATGTGATGTTAGCAATGCTATCAAGAGATCAAAGTGTCCGGCTGGCTTTTAAAACTCAAGTAGTCCCATTTCATTCAGAGGTAGAGAGCCTGGGAAGGCTTTTGATAATCCACACTGTCTGATGAGATTTCCACCACAATAAGTTATGGAAGGAAAAGGAAAGGAGGGAAGGAGAGGGAAAGTTAAGAGAGGAGGTGAGGGGATAAATGATAAAAGAAAGGGGGGAAAAAAGTGATGGGTAGAAAAGAGGAAAGTGAGTGAGGATGGTTCAATAAAGAACAAAATAGGGAAATAGGTTATAGCTGACTGATCAATTTATATTTTGCCCATTTTTTGAATAGCTGTCTCTCAGCATCTTTGCCCTCTGTCTCCTAGATTCATACTCTGTCTCTCCTCCTCCTTCTCTCCTAGAGTTTATAAGCCATCTATTAGATCCAGAGACATGTAGATGGAACAAAACCTGTCCCCGTAATTTATTCTGCTGCTCATTCCTTCTCCTGCGTGATGACATCCATTTGTCAGCTGCCTCTACGTCTTTAAAACAAATCCATTTGCCTCTAAGTTGCTCTGTTTCAACATTTCTTCATTGCAAAGAGATGCAGTTTGGCAATAAAAGCTAAAAGATGAAATAAGAATTGGTGTCGCGATGACTCAGTGGGTTCAGCTTTATTCTCTTAACATCAAATCTGACTCATGATTTCCTCAGCATGTCATCTCCCTGTCCTGCACTTCCTCTCTTTAAGTGCTGTAATAAAAAGTTTGAGAGATGGTGTTAAGACGTGCAGTCTAATTTGTTTTAGGCTTTTGTTTGAATGCAGCAATCCAGGGATTTATTTTTATGTATTTCAAAGCCTGATACATCTTCCTTCAGTGTTGTCCAAAAATGATTAAGAACACAGATCAGTGAGCCACACTGTTGCACTGGGTGACATGTTCATTCATTACCACAAACACACACACACTGTTGTTTATTTTGACTCAGTCAGCTGGGCCGTTTATCAAGTGCGTTGTTGGGTTATTTATTGCTCCACATTCTTGCAGTGCAGAGCTTACTCTGGTCACAGACGGAGCAGCAGAATGGCAGGTGCAGTGAAACTGAAACTTAACCATCCATTGTGCTGGGTCTAAAAGTTTGCCTTTACTCACCAGCAGCTGCTCCTCTTATCCATCGACCTAATCTGATTAGCTCTGATCTGATCGACTGATCAATTATCCACCCCGCGACTTAAAAGTCCTCAAACTGCTGAGGAGGAAAAAAGACACTGACACTGAGTGCGTTTACATGGACAGTTTAATTCCCTTTTCATTCGGAATGAAAGTTCATTCTTATTAAAAGTGATCTTATAAACACCTAATTCGGAATGAAAATGGCCAATGAGATTGAAAATTCAATCCGATGTAAGGGGCAGGAATATTCCATTTCTAATTCCAAATGAAAGAATTTCTTGCACTTGTATACACTCATTCCTCTCTCAGTTCATTCTGGTCTTTCTGCGCATGCTCGTTTCGTCAGACTCATTGCACTCACCGGTTTCCATTCGCCAAAGCACACTCATCTATCTTCAACTTTCTACCTCCCTTCTCCTCCTCAACAGACGAAGCATTAGCAGAACAAGGTTGTTGTCATACTGCTGCTTCGAGAATATAAGCAAAACAAGCCCGAGAAAGGCACTAAGAACAGCGTTGTCAAGCATCTTGTTATCCAGAATGAGGACTACAGTGTTTTCTTCCGGTAACATCTGCCCCGTCCCCTATCCAATCAGAAACCCACAAACCTTGCGGGGACCCGAATAAAGGCGATTAAACTGATCTCCCATGTAAACCCTCATTCGGAATGAATATTTCCCATGTAAACTACCTAGAAAGACTTTAATTACGAATGATTTCATTCAGATTTATTTCATTCCGAATGAGAAGCCATCATGTAACTGCACCCACTGAGAATAAAACCAATGCAGAAGTACTGAAAACTGCAGTACCTTGACTGGTGACTTGAAGCTGGCTCCAAAACAGAGTCAATCCACATAGACCCCCAGTGTTATGTCCAACTTTACAGCAGAAATAAACATTATTATAGCGTGGAACAAAAATGGTTTTGGTTTCTGTAGCTAATTTCAACATTCATGACAGCTGTCCAACCCCTCCTCCCTGTTTGCATTTTGTTAAGGCCTTAAGTTAGGCATATTTAAGGGCAGGGCCGCTTGACTGACAAGCTGTCTGTGAGGCTTCATCACGGTCTATGAGTCAGATCCACCCCTTCGCTCCTTCATAGTTCCAACCTCTTGTCTAGATATGGTCACTTCTGTCTCCAAAAAGCCAAGAAGATGACAGCTGAAATGCTGAACTCGAGGCTTCACAGTGGGAGTTCACAAACCAGGGTGATGTCAGGCTACATCCATTATTTATACAGTCTGTGAGATATGACTGAGCACCAAATGCAGATTAATTCACTACAAATACACTACTTCCTCTATTTGTTTCATAAAAAACTATGGTTTGCAGCTTTTTTAGGATAATGTAGAACTTTGAGTGACATTGTGTGTGTGTATGACATGTGACATAGTATGTGACCATACTATGTCAGCAGAGGGTGAAGGGAATGGTGGAATGGATGTGACCTTATGATTGCCAAGCTGTAGGCCACTGTTCGAGACCAACCAACAACAAAACCAGTTGCTTTTTAGCGAGTGATTGCTGTGTTTCCAGCAGCATTTTAGCCACCAAATCTGGGTGTTTTAGCAACCTGTTGCTGTGTCATCACTGTGTATTGTGTCATTAAAAGCATTTTTTTTTTTTTTTTTTTAACAATGACATCATCACTGCTTTTCCAGCAGGGATTGTGCCACCAATGCTATGTATTTTCAGCCAAAACATGATCTTCTTCAAACCATAACCAAGTGGATTTTGTGCCTAAACGTAACTACACATGAACCGCAGCGTTGTTGAAATATAAAGTTACAAATACAATGTATCCCTGATTTGCAGAAAAGTGTGATGTAGAAATTGTTTCTAGCAACTGAGTTTGGACTTAAACGTGTTGGTTTTATCTCATCAGTTGATTTGTTGGTTCATGTTTTTAAGTAATTAATTATTATTATTATCATTTTTTTTTACATTTTCTCTTTCTCTCTGTTACAGGTATCTGGAAGGATTGAGCTGGCAACCAGATGACATAAAGGTAAGTTAAAAAATTTTTTCAGCCTACAAATCCAAACACTGCTTCTGTATCAGAGACTGAACTGTATTTGAACTATGAGAAATCTCTGATGAAATGCATGCAGACTTTGTTCAAAACCCTTTGTCTGTACATAAGAGGATGGAAGTATGAGTCAGTTGGGTTAACAAAGAAATTTAATGGACAGATGGATTGTGGATTTAATGGCCTGAACATTGGCTAAGTGAATGGCTGTATACATAGAAGGAGAAGTGGCAAAGTGGCAATTACTGAAGTGACAGATGCATTATGGGGTCATACGGGAGAAAGTATTGAGATCAGGCATGTCAGGTAGTGATTAGCTTCCCGATCTAGTGCATAAGAGCAACATTAGATACACATTTTTACAAATAACAAAAAACTCAGTTGAGTAAAACTCTGAAAGACAAACACGCACACCCACACACATACAGCAGCAGCCCAGCCGTCCTCAAACGGAGCCACTTATCTTGCATGCTGACCACTGACAGTCCAGTATCTGTCTAAATAATGGACGTCCATGCACAGATCAGATTAGAGTGGACATTATCTGGAAGTGGGACCGCAGTAATGACGGAGTGTCCTCTATCTGATCACAATGGATCCACCACATTGTGTTATCTGTAAGTAAAACTGCAGTCATTCATCCACACAGCTGTGGGATTCAAACAGACCACAGATAAGGAGCAGGCAGGACTTCCTCTGTAAACAACTGATGCAGGTTCAATACTGACTTTTAATATGTTGATGAATGTAGCAGCGATGCAGCACTTAACAGACACACATGATAGCTGCTGAACCAGTTTTAGCTGTATTTAAGTTTTGAACTGAGTTTCATTTTTCAAAGAATAACATGGCTCAATTTTACTGTGACTTGTATCTGTGAAAACCTCCTGTTCAATTTTCCAACTGGATCCTCAGTAGTTACACAACTTTTATTGTGAGCAGCTAAACCTACAAACGAGTATAAAAAGTAAGATTGGCATTAGAAAACAATAGAAAATGCAGCAATGTACACTGTATGTACATGTATTATGATATAATAAAACATTGTTAGGGCGGTATGGTGGTGCAGTGGTTAGCATTGTCACCTCACAGCAAGAGGGTTCCTGGTTCCAACATGTCCAGGGTGGGGAAGCTCCCCATGTGTGGGCATGTTCTCCCAGGAGAGAAGTGTGTGCATGTTCTCCCCGTGTCGGCGTGGGTTTTCTCTGGGTACTCTGGCTTCCTCTCACAGTTCATAGACATGCCGGCTAGCTTAATTGGTGACTGTGACTGTGGTGACTGACAATTGGCCGTGGCTTTATGTGTGAGCCCTGTGATAATCTGGGGCCGTATTCACAGCCATTCTACTCTCAGAGTGCTTCTAATTCAGCCTAAAAACTTTTAGTAAAGAGTCTTAGCTTAGGAGTGATTTCGGAAAGTTCTCAGAGCAACTTTGATTAAGGAAGGGACAGAAACTGAGGTGTGGTTGACCCCGTTGCTAGGTGTGATGCTTGCTTTTACCAGATGTGATTGGTTGCCAGAGACACATCCTTTTGTGAGCCTGCAAGGTGTGGACACTGAGTGGAAATGAAATGAACTGCTTACTGTGAAAGTTTTAATACTGTTAGTGTGATCACACACTGATGGAAGGTTAAGACAGACCCAAGTCATCACTGCTGCACTGTTGCATTTTTCCGGTTTTCCAGATATCTCAGTGTTGATCGCTTTAGTTCTGGTGTTATAGCGTTAGGTGGGAAATGTGTGCAAATCCCTAATGAGTTCAACCATATTATCCCTATGTGATCTAATCTGTAGCATTTCATTTACTCACTGTCATTCAGTGTTTGGAGAATATTGCTCGTACCTCTTTGTCTTTCCACCATTTTCTTTTCTGCTTAAGAAACCCTTAAGCCTCTTAAAAGTCCTCCTCCCTGCTCCTAACAGTTATAACCTAGTCTTAACTTTAAGAGGAAATTAAAAAAAGGTCACAATTCTAAGAATTTTCTTAGAATTTCGTCACTAGGAGCAACTCTTTGTATTACAAAGCTTTGTGAATACAGCCGCTGGTGATCTGTCCAGGGTGTGCCCCACCTCTTGCCCAGTGTAAGCCAGGATAGGCCGCAGCCCCCTTATAAGCAGTCCAGGAAAAACAGTTACATAAAATGAATGAATGAATGAAAGTGTTGTCAAATACCAACCCTATATGCTGCACACATCCCTCAACCCACAGTTTCACCCATGTTTAATTTTTCAGTTTATCCTGGTGACTGTGTTGTGGTAAGGATTGACCGTTATGACAGTCTACTCATTGTCCATTGCGTTGTCTGGATTTACTCAGTTGTTTGAGAGAGTTGCAAGTGAAAAATAATCAGTATGTGTTAATAGTAATTATGGAAGAGTTGTTTCAGCGATCTGTATTGTATCTGTTAAGCTTTAGAAATAATTCAAAAGCTTACCTTTCTCAGCAAGCAGCAGTTTTTCATTTCTCTACCCTCATGCAGCCCAGTACAACCAGTTCTGTGTGTGTGGCAGTGATTGACAAGAATCAGTTTGAGTCCACTGGTCGTGACTGCTGGGATTTCAAATGTTTGTTTGATGCCGCCATGTTTGGATGATGTTCTAATTGTAATTCAGGCATGTCGGACACATCTGTGTACATATGTCACTGCTGTTCAGACTATGATTAATGTGATTATTATTCATGAGCTACTGTCCATGCTGTTTTTATAGGAACATGAAGCACTTCATTTGACAAATACATCACACACAAACGCACACCTGGAGTCTGTATTGAACCTGTTTAGACTGTAAGCAGTGTCCAGTCAGTCACTGACGTCAGCTCCAGTTTTAAAAGCTCAGTCATCATCAACCTTTATTTCACATTCAAAAAGGGGGATTCTCCAAAACAGTGGTATTAAATTGTAAAAGAAATTATAAGCTATCATTATCCATGGCATAATGATGCTTTATTGATCCCAAAAGAACGAGCACTGGATTGAAATCTATCACGTGTTTTCCCAGAGGACCACTCATACTGCTTTTGCAATGATATATTTTTAGTACTAGTTGATACCCAGAACTAATTGAAGTGCTTAGATTGCTGCAGTCAAATTATTTCAGAGCATGTCCTCCTCTCTACTCTGCAGCATCGCAAACTTTAGATAGTCTCTAGATATGTCTCCTTAATCAGGACACAGTAACTGTCCCAAAAAACTTAGAATGTGTTATTTTGACATCATTTTTGCCTCACTAATGTCACTAATGTACATGTAATGCAAGCCTTTACAACAACTTTACTAGAACATTTTACTCTGACTATTGGGCTGCTGCTGGCCTACCTACTTACCTATTTTCAGTTTTCATTTGTTCAAGCTGCTCTCAGTCTCATCATATTCAGACCAGGAAACCAGCTGCTTAGTCTGTAGACCCCAGTGGCTGATCATCCACCAAGCAGTCTAACAGTTGCATGATTCACCAGCCTGCGAGTTCAAACTTCTCAGTGTTTGATGGCTGGTGATTTATCACCTTGTTTAAAACGTCCTCTTGCGTTCTTAGACAACCCTCACCCTGCACTAACCACAAACAGCCCCAAATAAAACATGACTGCTTTACTTTTAAATAAAGTGGCTGAAGGAGGTGATAGATCATCACTTTATTGCCACATCTCAAAGTTCTTAAGCTCACCTTCTCCTCTGTTCTCCTCAGCTCTAATAAAATCTCAAACACTTTATATACGCAGCAGTTATAGTGTCCTCCACATTTAGTGCCTGTGTTTCTTTGCTACCCTGCACTTGACTGTGCAGTGTGTAAGAGCCCATACCCTCCATACTGTATCTTTGTATGTACCTATGTACATGTACAGTCTACTTGTTACAGTATGAGAAGCGTAGGAGGAGGTGTGAGTTTATGTATATTTATATGTGCTTAACTCTTTATGTATGCTAATGTGTTTATGTGCTGAACACAACTATGTATATGCTTACTGTGCATGTGCTTCTACTTGTCCTGTCCTGTTCTGAGCACGGTGGGCTCCCTTAGATTTATAAAGAAGTGGCAGTGATGCAGAGGACGTATATCGACAATATTATATGGCATTAATTATTTCTAGAGACGCACCAATTTATTGGCTGAACATCAGTCAACAACAACAGGGCCGATATTGGCCCTGTTGACTGGCTTACCTCTTGGCAGATAATATGACATTTACCAGTGGAGGTGGCTGCTGTTTTTACATCACATCAATTTTGTGCAGGCTAAAAAAGCAGGCCTCCAGACTAATGGCCACAAACTTAAATTAGTGAGCAGGTACAAGAAGAAAACAATGTCTGATGGGCAAATGAGCCCTGTGATCTCACTGACATGTGACACGATGGAGAGTAGCAGCCGACATCCAGTCTGACAGTAGAAAACATGTTTGGAACGAACAGAGCTCCGGTACTGTATGCTGTAGGGAGAAAAGGATGTAATTAACTCACTATTGTTGCGTCAAAGGATACACCCTGCTGTTTCCTCTGATAATGTTTCATTGTGAACAACTGTACCGTGTTGAAAACAGCAGGAGGGAAGCTAGCTAGCATTAGCTGTTAGCAGCCAGTGGCCGAAACAGTTCACGCAGGTTGCATTATGTTACATTATGATAGCTTCAAGTTCTGTTTAATAAAAGTGAGTATTGGGCCAAAGTAAATCATACCATTCTCATAATGTGCTCAGTGTAATCTTGTAAAATGTTGTTTTTGGTAAAAAAGATAAATTTGTTGATGTTTTCAAAGCAATAGAAAACAGATAGGCCTATTTGAGAGAGAATTATGACATATTATATGCAGTAAAATGTTTTTGAAGCAGTTATTTTTTAAAAGATTTTTTTTTTTTAAAAGGTCATAATAAAGGTTGTTTAATAAATTTGTATGATTGAATTTGTGTTAATTTAAAGGTAATGTAATGAAGGACATAACTAGGCTTCAATCGTTCAGTTATTCATTTTATAATGAGATTTCTTTCTT